ACATTTTGTCAAATAGTCTTATGCTGCTTGTTATTTCTGTTCATATTGCAGATTGAGAATGTTGATGTCTGCCTTAGCTTTCTGGCAGCCAGAGGCGTAAATGTCCAAGGTCTTTCTGCAGAAGGTAAGAGAAACAGATCATCAGAACAAATAATAGGATTTTTTTTTCTGAAACCTAATTTTCTTAATACAAATTATTTGCACCTAAATACCATACTCCAGCTATCTTGAACAGCATGCAAATATACATTAGTGATAGGGAATGAGAGAGAAGTTTAGATTTCTTTTTAATTTTCCCTTGAAACTGAACCAAGAAATTAAATGTGTTTATGAAGCCTGAGAAAATGTTTTAAAATAATAATTTTTTCAATAGTATTAATCTTTTCTTGTTATCTCCACAATATTAGATAGGTACAGGGTTTCCCAAGCCTACTTTTAAACTTGTTCATATATAGAATTCAAAAATCAAAAATGAATATGAGAATCTAGTTAAGTAAACCCAAGGAAGACTATTTGTTTATTAGTAGTAACGCTGTCCGGATGAGTCTGAAAATTATTGTATTTCTTTGATGTCATGTATTAAGTGAAAGAGTGCATGGTCTTGCTCTTTCTATTACAGCCCTTTTTGCTGTATTAGTCACTTCAAGTGATGGCCTAATACAGTTACAACTAAGTTAATAAATATATTAAACCAAAAGCATTAAAATACCAGTTGTCTTAATTAGTATGTAATATTTGCCATATTAATGTAAAATTAAGTCAGGCAGATACTTTAGCTTGTAAATTAATAAAATGTATACAAGCATTTGTCCTGTAACTAGTTAAGCGGTTCTGGAAGGTGCTATGCACCTTCAAAATCCCTCTGACTTCCATGGCAGTTGAAGACAATATGTATTAACAAGATTCAACCCTATTTTTTTTATTTTCCTTGTAGCACAACTAAAAGCTAGAAGGAAAAATACACTTTTTCCAAACATGGTAATTTAAGTTGAATTTTAGAAGATATCCAGAGAAAAAAAATTGAATGCTAAGCACTGTTCTATTTTAAAATTAACTCAGAATTGTTATCTTTCACCATTTCCACCTTTCTAGTACCTTAGCAGAAGTGTAACACTGCCCTGATATGTACGATCTACTCACTTTGATTGGCTCCGTATGGAAAGCTCCTTAACTGATTTAAGAGAACCTCTGTACATACTGTAGATACGTTGATGAATGAGAACACTGAACATTTACATGTTACCATTCATCTCAAAGCTGTTTAGAACTTGAGCTTTTTAGTGCAGCCTATTTTTACTTGCATATGAAATAACAATCATCAAATGTGTGTATAGCATGAATTTATTGCATGAGAATACTCTTCATTGTTTAATAACATGACATGGCGCATGCCACTTTTCGTCTGTACTTTGTTACATCAAAATCTGAGTGCATTGTGTAATACATTCCTTTATTCATGCCTTTGTTTTGCTTTGGAAAATAATTTTTGATAGGATATAAGCTTCAACCGTGTAGCATTAAATTCAAATACTACTAAAAGCAATAATACCACATAGTGTTAAATGCAAGGACTGTTTTTTAAAACTTTCGTTAATCATTAAACCAGAATTTTAACTTCAGTTCTGAAGTAAGATTAAAACTAGTTTTCCTGTTTTGCAGTTGGTCATGAATCTGATGTGAATCTGCTAATATGTTTGTAATGATATTAATTCAAAGGACCACAGAAGTGTGATTTGCTTAAATATACCATTTTTAGCATGTACAATCCTGAATATTACAATTTATCTAGAAGAGCAGAAATTGAGAAAAGCAGACTTTTTTTTTTTATCATGAAATTGTCAAGTTACCTTCATAGTGTTTTGTCAGCACATTCATGTTTAAAATCAATTAAGCTTAGAACCCATAAGTCTGTTTCTTGTAATAGGCTTTGGTAAATATGTCTTGTTACTACTGGGTCATTTATTTCTGGAACAGTAAACCAGGAGCCTAACAAGGATTGAGGATTTCACAACCAGTTTCCCACCTCATTTTTGCATTTGAGCAAGGAGGGCTAGAACAAAAGTCATTTTCAAGTCTTGACTGCAGAATCTCTACTGGAGAACCCAAATGATAAATAATAAGCTAGTTGCTACAAAGAAAAACACTCCCCTCCTCTTCTCTGCAAGTGCTTAGTACATATTAGAAGTTTCTGGATTTTCTTCTGTTTAAGAGAAATCTTCCAACTTTAACTTGTTTAAAAATAGGAAGGAAAAAGAAGTTCAAAACTGATAACGTTCTTCGTTAAAATTAGTAAAAAATAGTTTAACATAAAAAAGGAAAAATTTAAAATAAAGAATGATGAATGGGATTTAACAAACAATGGGTTCTTTTTCTGAGCATTAAGTGATGCAAAATCATAAGAATAAATAAACCAGTATCATGTACAGAAAATCTTTCAAAATCAGAGCAGCTTAAAGATGGGTAGATGAGAGGTTTTGATGGGGAGTTTTTTAAAGTTAACTTTAAATTCGATTTTTTTGTGTTCCTTGATAATGATCTTCTTTGAAACCAACATGACTGCAGAAGTCTTTGTTGCTTAAATTCTGAGAAATTCTGAGAAAGTTCTTCTCCCTACCTCTGGTGGTCTCGTGGGCAATCAACGATCCTGCAGCATCTTCATAGGGAAGATGAGAAAGTATGGGTACTTAGAACAAATTTCCATTCTGCAAAGTATATTCCAGTGTCCAGAGTTGTGTTTGCTTTTGAAGAACGAGTTGAGAGCATAAGGGCTCTAGCGTTTGCTGGCCTGTTACATATGTACTAACATTTTACCTAATCCTATTGAAAGAAAATGAATATGGTTTAAAGGACACCAACGTGTGACAGTCATTGATTACAAATTCTGCTTTAAACATTACCTAAGCAAGCTGTGTGGCACATACAGTTCAGTGTTTGGGTTTACAGGGAAGGCAGAAATATTGCAGTGTTGCATGGTCGGTTACAGGGCTGTTGGCCTAATGAAAACCTTTCACAAGAAGTGAAAGCCGAAGAAAATTAATAATGAAGTTATGAACAGACAGGCTGAAGTGCTGCAGATAATTTCATTACAGCCTCCTGAGGCTCCTTTTTGGACACAGAGATCCTTTATGAGCAGAGAATAACATTTTCCATTTACAACTTTCATCTCTGGCTGGGGGAAGACTAAGAAGGGGATGGGAGACATGGGGATGCTACTGTGGCTCACCAGAATTTCATAGGGGCAGCTATTTTAGCCTCATGTGAAAGCTATAGTTTTGAAGTGTTCATTAATCAGTAATAGCAGTGTAAAATGGAAAGCTAGAAAATCATGTAGTTCAAAAGTTCAAAGATGTAATCATGAACTTTACGGTCACCTTTTTTTAATAAATATTTTCCATTAATCTCCTTCTCTCATGTTCCTTGCAAATTTATGTGAATGAATATGTGTTCATCCACAAAACTGCTACCATCTCCTCTTTCTGATTTTTCTAGAAGTCACTGTTTATTTCCAAAGTGTGCAGAAAGGCAAGAAGAGTGATTTAAAGCTGTGGGGTAGAAGGGATGCGTACCTAAGGCCAGAAAGAATTCAGATTTTTCTGAATGCCCCTCTGCTTACTGAGAATATCTGTACTGTGTAGAGGCAGGAGTATTAGTTTCAGATTATGTATGTTATTTAAGGTTTGGTGTACTCTTCTTTATGCCCATGTACATGTGACTCATCATGAGGACATTATAGAGATATGTGTTTATTGCAACAACACATCAATAAGCAAAGATTTTAACAAACAATACAGTATCAGTGATACCTAACATGCCTCTGATATTAGAGATAAATTAAGAGACATAAGGCATAAACATGTACATGTATGTGCAGAGATGTTTTAGTATAAAACTGTTACAAAACTGAAGACTAAAACCACAGGGTTTTCACTTCTTTTTCTTTCTTTTTTTTTTTAAACAGAAATAAGGAATGGAAATTTGAAAGCCATTTTAGGGCTGTTTTTCAGTTTGTCTCGGTACAAACAGCAGCAACATCATCAGCAACAGTACTACCAATCTTTGGTGGAGCTACAACAGCAAGTCCCTTCATCTCCAGCTGAAATCAGCCAGTCCAAAACGCACCAAGATATGCAGTCGAGGTAGGTTAAAACGTTAATTTTCTCAGGTGCAAAAGCTTCTTATTTGTCTGTTCAAAAAATACAAGTTTTTGCAAAAAGATTAGGTTACTTGCAAGAGACTGAAGAGACTAGCTTTTGCTTTTTCTTTTTTTTTCTTTTTTTTTAGCTATTTTTGCAATGGATATAGGAAAACAGTATCTTGTTTGTTTGATATTAAGCTTACATTTATTGGGAGTAAAGCTAGAATGAGAGCAGAGAACATTCCAAATTAAACTTAGTTCAAATTTTAATTAATTTTAAGGCATTCTTTCACTTTATTATTGATTCTACTGTCCTTTGCACAATAAGAGACAGCACACCATGAGGTTAGCATACTGGTTATTTTCATATTTTCCTCACATACCCAGTTCCACATCTAAATGAACAATTTGAAATGATTAGCAAAATACCTGGGGAAAAGGCGCAATTAATAATTTCATTTGTCATAAACTCTTTGCATCCCCATGCGTTCTGGTTTTGAGTTCCTTATTCTATTTGAATGTTTTTTGAAAGGGAGAAGAAGTGGCCTTAATCTAGTTGTTTCTTTTAAGTGGACAGTTTATGATTTAGTTTTAGGAAAGTAAAGCACTCAACAGAACCCTTAATTGCTGAGTTACATTGCTTTCAGACTGAAGCGTAAAACATATTTTGAGAAGGTACTTGCTTACTAACAGTGACAAAAGAATCGGTTTTAAATATAAATATCTGTTTAAATGGAAAGAGTATTAGTAACATGTTCTTTATTGGGGAAGTTAAAAAAAAGCTGCTCACAGGTAGGACTATGTAAAGTGCAGTTCTTCATGAAGAGTTTTATTTATTGCTCTGTTGGTTTTATTGTTTAATTTACTTGTTTAATTGGTAAATTGTTAATTTACTTGTTTGATTTATTATTTGCTTGTTTCAATATTTTTGCATACTTACTGAACAATTGTATGTCTAGAATGGGATAAATCAGTGATCTAGGATGGATTAAAAGTATCAGACTACGATAATCAAATTTTGGTTCTTGGGTCCAGTCATATCTAAATTACACTTTCATGTTTATAATAAACATATTTCTTCTTCAGCTGAGAAAACTTTTCACACTTCAGCCTAATAGAAATCTTTATCTTGAAACTAGGAATGTTGTAAAAATATATTTATAGGAAAATGTTGCTGATGGCATTTTAGTTACTTCATTTGATACAAAAATTAAGATACACTTGTGTTTGCCTTGGGCATTGCAATGTGAAATGCTTTTTTTTTCCTCTGCTACTGAAAATGAAGGTCTTTGAATGGTTTCTCCATGAAGTTTACTATTAACATGTAATCTAGGGAATTATGGTGTGATCCTATAAGAATCTGACCACTCTCAACATTTTTTGAAGTGAATTTTTGCTTCCTGAAGGATATTTAATACTGCGTAAGAGGCAATAACATCTTGTTATTCAGAAATTAAATGTTTTTTCTATCATAAGGAAAACATTTTGAATGTAGGTCTACAAGTGTTCACTGCTTTAATCAGTGGAATTAAGGGGTTAGGCAGCTTCATGTAAATGCCTTTGGTTGTTGGGTTTTGTTTATAGTTTAGTAAAAGAACTGAAACATTTTCTGCTTTTCTGATTTACTCATGGTGAATTTTTAATAAAAAATAGTTACTGTGTTCCTTTATACATTACCACTATTGCAAGGAATTCTGTCTGTCAAAAAAAAGCTTGGAGCAAAGCAGTTGTTTACTATTTGGAAGACCATGATTGCACACTAGTCCTTTGTCTGCTCAGGAATGGTAGTCAAAGAGGGGATGAAGTTTTTATAAAGCTTTCTTTTCATTATAATTCCCCATGATCTCATGGTTCTTCGGTGCCTTTTTCGCCTCTTCCTCTTTACTATGTTTAAATATACTTCGTTACGAGGAAGGGCAATCGTTCCATGTCCAGAACCTCAGCATTCATAAAGTGACATCTAAGGCTGTTTTAAAAAAAAATTTACTTCCATCAGTGTGCCTTAGACCTTTTACTTTAATGCCAGGAGTCGAAAATAATTTCATTTTTTGATTAAATTTCTATTCATAGCTATGTTTCAGCTGCAAAATGTTTCTATGTAAAAAATTATTACACCAAGATTGATACCATCTTTTTTATTTCCCATCTGTAAACTGAAAGTAAGAATCTTTCTGAACATATACAGAAGTTCAATGTTTGTTACCATAAACTTGTGTACTGCCTGAGAGACTATGATTTTCTCTATCCATATATTTTTCAGTAAAGGCTTGAAGGATAAAGGAAGGTCCCTACTTCTAAAAGCTTTATTCTCTATGAAAAATTTCCATCTTCTTCTACAAATAAGTCTAGTATTCTGAGTTGCTAGCAAAACAAGGAGCTCCAGGACTTAGAAACAAGCAGAAATACAGATTATTTTTTTTTTATATTAAGTGGCTTTTTCATTTGTCACTCTTTTGAAGTAATATTAGGAAATTACCATAAAATAATATGTCCCTTTCTAAGAAAAATGACTACATATGAAAAGCAGGTTTTCCACAAGTGGATGGGCATATACAACTATACATTGATGTGAACTCTCTGTGGTGTACTTAGCAACCTTTCTTTTCATAGTAGTCATTTAATTAAATTAAATTTAATTTCTTTTTCTTCCCCATCAAAGCAAATATTTGGGAAAATAATTCAAAATTATTTGCCAAACAGCTTTTTAGTTTTAAGCTGTTAATGAGTAAATAAAAGCTTCTGTTTAGAAAGAAGCCAAAATATGAAATTAAAAAAGAAAAGATGCCTTGGATGGAATTCGTCTTGCCTCTTGCCTACCTTTTGCTATCTGAAATGTGGACAGGTAGCTTGCATGATTCCCAAGACTGATTTCTATGCTGTGATTGTTTTCATGGCAACTGTGTCTCAGCATTAATTACAGAAGGAACCAACATGACTGACTTATTTACAGGACAGGAGTTCATGATCTAGAAGGTCCTAAGAAACTCGTACAGGTGCTCCATGGGACACTCGAGATTTTTATGTCTTTTTGGCAAAAAGTAGTTTCATGCAAATGATACTTAAACCTTCCTCTTTCATTGAACAAATATATTGAAAAGTGATAAAATCTAAGGTGTATAATAATGTCATATTCTTCACTTTTTCCATGTGAAATTATTAACTCAGTAATAGATAATCTAACTACTATCAATAATAGAGCAATCTTACTTTTTTCTAAAGTAGTGGTGATAAAATGAGCTATTTTATCCTTTCGTAGTGGATGTTAATCTTTAAGGCAATTTATTATTACACATTTATCATGCAGCTATGCTTCACTTCCTTCATTAGCATGTTGGAGTTCTGAAAATGCTTTTAAAAATTCTTAATGCTTTCTGTTTTCTAACATTTTATACTGTGAAAAGGGCTGACGTAGAAACCTTAAGGCAGCAAATTACTCGTGGTGTATATGCAGGAAAAATTATTTAGCAAATGCACATAACAGAGATTATTTTCCATTAATTTGGTCTGTGGTCCTTTATCACCTAGAAACAGTTCTTTCAGATTTTTGAGAGGAACAAGAAAAATCATCAAATTATTATAGCAGAAGCCAGATAATGAATATTGTAGCGAACACCTGAGTGGCACATTCATCATTATTCAATAATGGCAAAAGTCTTCAAACCTAATTTGAGTAAATTTTCAAGTGTATTGTGAAAATTATCTTCTGATACCTATGGGTATTTTATTTAATTGAAGATTCATATATTTCTGCTGAGAAATAAAGCTGTCATTCTAAGGCACTGCATACTATTAAATGCATTTGGTATGTGTGTTTGTGTGCAGACATGTAAGCAAAACCAATACATATACCCTGAAAAAGGTGGATACTTTTTATAAACTTTGTACTTTTTAAGAAGTTCAGTGAGCAATCACATTTCATGTTGTAATTTAAGTCTTTGAAAGTATGTCTGTGTAACTGAAGTTACTTCAAGTTAGATTTTTCCATTGGGAAAGTAACCTTCTTTGTTGCTTCCAGCTAAGGTATAGTAAGGATGTTGCTCAGCTTCAACTGAATTTCCTAGGAGGTAAAAAGCTGTTGTGTGTACTTTATTAAAGTTATGAAAAAGTGATGCTCTCCACTGTTTCAGACAGAAATACAGATTGTACATGGGAGAGAGAAATACCTCTGAGAAGTCACACAGAAGATGGTCAGGATACAGAAGTGGTAGCATACAGGCCCTGCTGAAGACAAAGAGTTTTGTCTTTGTATGTACAGGGCTAGTGTCTCACTCTTCTACTGTGCAAGTGTGGTCCTGATGATGATAATGATGATGATGACAATGATGGTACTCTCATCCTGATTTCCAGGTTATGGTGTCCTCAGTAATGATCAATGTCTGTGATCGTTACTGGGTCTGAGCCCATTCCGCACGCCACCGAAGCCAACCTGCTTTAGTATTGACCGCAATGAGAGAGTGTTTGGGTCCGTTGTCAACAAAAGCTGAAACAGGCACAAAAAATGTTATTAGGACTCTACAGCTTTAATAGCCAGGTTGGTTTTCTGTGGTAAACAAGCAGAAGCCCCAGGGGAAGGTTGTAATCAGAATATCATGAGACTGACAGGATTAGGTGTGGGCAGAAGTGGGAGGCTAGTTGTCCATGGATGACCATGTAATCAGTGTCTCCTACAGGAGACGACATGGATTAGGAATGGAATTAAACTGATTTGTGGAGGTGCCTCTCTCCCCGTAGTGTAAAGTTTGCATAGGGGGATAATGAATATTCTATGGCAGGGTCCTAACAAAGTTATCTAAAGTTGGTCAGTATGGCAACACTTTAACATTGCTAATCCCTTGCAATCTGTCCATAACTGAGATCAGAATTGTGAAAATTGTGCATGCAGAAGAGGAGCAAGATTCTGCGTGTGAAAGAGTATCATTGGCCTATCTAATCCTGGGGCCAACAGCAACATTTCAAATTAAATGTAAAAAGAACAAAGGAAGTTGATTTGTGGTAAGTGAA